GTTTGTGTAGCTACTTTCAAATGTATAAGGACATAATTAGAAGTTTAATGGTTGAGTCATGTGGTAATCTAACTTTCTGGGAACTGCCAAACTGTTTTCCACAGAAACTGCACCATTGTATACTCCCATCAGCAATACATGAGTTTTTCATTTCTCCACATTTTAACACATGTGCCTCATTTTTTTAAATAGAAGAGTTATGCTAGTAATTATAAAGTACAATTTCATTGAGGTTTTGATTAGAAATTTCATATTTTTTTTTGCTTATTGGCCATTTGTATATATTGTCTTTTTTTCTTTTTCTTTTTGTTTCTTTTTATTTTTTTGTTTTGGGAGTTTCTTGTTTGTGTTGTTGTTATTGTTTGGGGCTGGGGCCTCTGGTCTGCTAGTCACGTACTCAGGTTCTCTACCATTGAGCTCCATCCCCAACCTTGCCATTTGTATATATTCTTTAAAGAAATGTTTATTTAAGTCTTCTGCCCATGTTTTAGTTGGGTTGCAAGTCTTTTTGTTGTTCCTTTGTGGAGGTTCTTCATATAAATAGTTTCCCTTATTTTGTAGGCTGTCTTCGCTATGCTTGATACCCAGTGATGAACAAATGTTCTAAGTTTGGATGAAATCCAAGTCATCAAATTTTCTCTTTTGGTTCTTACTATTTTTAAAAATGTTTTTATGCATTACAGTTACATGTAGCAGTGGGACTCATTGTGACGTACTCATAGATGCATATAACATACTTTTCTTCTTTCACTCCCAGTTCTTCACCTGTCTTTCCTTCCCCAACTCCCTTCATGTATGCTATTGGTTTTCCTTCCATTTATGTTTTAAGTTGTTGATTATATTTGTATGTAAAATCAGAATGCATTGTGAGGTATCCATACATGAACATAGAATAATTTGGTCAACTTCATTCCCCAGTTCTTCCCCTACTTCTCCTCCTTCCCCCTCCCCCTTGCTTTGTATTCTCTATGATTTTATGACTTTAGGAACATAATTTCCTGTTTTAACCACTAGATACATTATCAGCATTTCTCCATCATATGCAGTGAAGTGCTAGAGTCCAGCAATTAAAAAATGATTTCAACATATTCAGGGACCTCTTAAACTTTTCTGTTTAAAACAGACTGACAGCCTCCTCCCTAAAAACTGAAGCTGCAATAGAGTAAATAAGCATATTCAGTGAAACTCCAGSAACACTGCTATGACAGTTCATCTCCAACACTCAGCACAACTACATCTCCCATTACATGTCCCATAGCAGAGGTCATTGTAATACACTGTTGCGATTAGTTCTTATTGTTTTAGTTCATATCCCAGAAACCATTACTAAATCCACAGTCATGAATTTTGCCCACATTTTCTTCTAACAGTTTTATGGTTTTAACTCTTGTTTCAGTCCCTGATATATTTTGAGTTGATCTGGTATTTCTGCTTGTGGTAATGCTATTTGTGAATGTTTTTCTCCATTGAATAAACTTGTCCCTCTTGTCAAAATTCAATTGACCTTGGACATATGACATTTCCTAGACTCTTAATTCCATTCCATGAGTTCAGTTAAGCCAATCCACATTGCAATGACTATGGTGGTTGAGGAATATATTTTGAATTTGGAATAGGCATGTGTTGCTACTTTATTTTCTGCAAGTTTATTTTAGCTTTGGAGCATCCATTGAAATTCAATATGATTTTTTGTGTTGGCTTTACATTTCTGGAAACAAGCCATTAGGATCTTGGTAGGGATTTCATTAAATCTATAGATTACTTTGGGAAGTGTTACCATATAAAGCAGTAACTCTTGAAACTCATGAAAATTTAAAATGTAGGAGTTTTGGATTTCATCAAATTTTTGTATATTCAAGAAAGATATACAGGTGTAACTTTTTGGTAAAATACATTTCTGAATATTTGATTGACATAGATGCTGTTATAAATCAAATTATTTTCTAAATTTCCTTTTAAGATTATTTTTGTGTGTAGATGTGTAAAAGAAATGGGTTGATGGTCTTCAATCCTGTGACTTTACTGATTATATTTATTGGGCAACACTTTTTTAATACATACTTTTAAGATTTTTGTTATAGAATTTCATGTCATCAGAGAATAGACATAGATTTCTTTCTTTCCAATTTGGTATCTTTTATTTCCCTGCCCCTTGGCCTGCCTTCAACTTCTGGTACAATTTTGAACATGAGTGATGAGAGCAGCAATCCTTGTATCTGATGTTTGGGGAAGTCTTTAGCTGTGGTTTCTACAAGTTCTCTTTAGTTTGTGGATGTTCTCTTCAGTTCCTAGCCTTCTGAGTATTCTTTTCAAGAAAGAATTAAAACTTCAGCAGGTGCTATTTCAGATTACAGAAATTATCTTGTTGTTCTCTTTACTATAACAATATGGTTAATTATATGGCTTTCTTTTTCTTTACCTAAGCACCTTTACATTCTTGGAGTAAATACAACACAGTAATGATTTATAGTTATGTTAATTTATGGATTTGTCCTGTGAGTGTTTTTAACATCACTTTAATACATTAAACAGGGGTATTGGTCTCTAGTTTTATTTAATTAACTTTTTATCTAGCTTTGCTCTGAGGTTATGCTAACATTGCAAAATGAGTGACACAGTATATATTCTATGTATTTACTCAATGAAATAAAATTTATGTGCAAAACAAACAAACAAACAAAAAACCTTTAGGGAAATGAAAAGTAAAAAAGAGATTTATTAGTAACCACCAAAACTGAAAACAGTATTAATGTTCCTTAACTAGGGAATGTAAAACTCAATGCACAATGGAGATTACTGGCATCCATAACCGTATGAATGAGCCTTGATTGCATTACACTAATTGAATAAAATACAGATGTCATATCCTAGGAGTCTAGTCTAGGACATTCATGCAAAGGAAAAATCAAAATGAAAAAAATTGATAGTATTCTCCAGGGCAATAGGTGGGTGATACCTTGACATAATGGTTAATAAAATTTATTATGGGTGTTTGTCATAGTGGTTACATGAATATACATTTGAAAAAAATTTAAAGCTCTATATTAAAAATTGTGCATACTGGCCTTTCAGTTATATAGTAAAGATTGAAAATAAAAAATAATAACACAATTATACTTGTGCACACTTAAACTATCCGGCTGAGTCCCACAGGTAGTTTAATTGCTTCTTTCCTTAAAAAGTGAGATGAAGCACTGAAGGCTCCCTTGTGGGAGGACATCCCAGGAGGGCTCTGTGTATTCATCATTCCCTGCTGATGTACATGCATTTGTGTCTCAAGTCTGACAGAATTGGAGGTGTTTATTTTAGAGGAAGAGGATGGTATGCAGTGCCCCTGTGGTCATTATTAATGCATCTGAAAATCATTATCTKTTAGTACAAGAAGGGTTTCCTTCCAACCTCAAGGCTTGCTGTGACTACACAACTGTAGTCAAGAGAAATACCCCACGACTGAATTCTATTGATTGATTGTGAAATCATAACCACTAAGCTAGCTGTTTTTWAAATTTTATTATTTGCAAACAAACATCCAACTGTGGATGATATAGAAGAYGTAACATAATAATGTTTCTTTTACAAATTAGGAGGAGGTGCATCCTCCACAGACACAGTAAGAATGCATTGTAGATTCAGGACCAAATGGTCACTAGTCTCCATGTGTCCCTGCCTCAGGGACCTCAGAATATTTTGTCTACTACCCACAAGAGAGCTGCTCCAACAATGCATTTTTTCATAGAAGAATTTCTGCTTTCAAACGCTCTTTCAGGACTGACTGCCAGCTGTGTTTGAAGATCGAGGTAAGCTTCTATAATAAATATGAAAGTTTGGGGAAAATTGCTGTTCATGAGGGGTAGTAGAGCAGCTGGACTTTCTCTGAGTTATGTGAGCACAGAAGTTGGGGTTATGACTGTTTTTCTAAAACACCAAACTGAAGCTAGAGTATAAATATCAAAAGGTCATCAGGACAAAGTTTAGTGACATTTATAAAAGGTCATCTTGCTGCTTTAGAAAATATTTTTAAAAGCATAGATCAAACTCTGAATGAATTTCTAGTTGTTTACAACCTGGTGGTTTCTCACTAGAGATTAAAGGGGACAAACAGAGAGTGCAGTGGCCCTTCTTTAAATAGGAAGGGACCTAATGAATTAGCAAGATCTGAACCTCATTGTAACATTTTGCCCATAATCTTATTCTCATTCTTATTTTTACTGGCAGGTCTACAAACACTGATGGTGGTGTAGCCAAAGTTACAGGTTTTGATTAAGATTTAACTCAGTTTAAATATTGATTCTTGAATCTTTGTCCATCAACTTTTGGAATGTTAGAATATCACTTAATTTCATAAATTATCAGTTGTCTTAATAGTGAAAAAAATAAGAATACCTAGCTATACAGAGACACAAACACACACACAGTCAAACAGGTGCTTATATATAAAACTCCTGGCATTCCTTGTAGAACACTCTGTGTTAAACGTGTGATGTATGTRAGGTGAGCAAACATGAAGCCCTTATGGGCTGAACTTGTAATGTTCCAAAGGATAGGATGCTAAATAATAGGGAAACATGGTGAGGGGTGAATGAATGTTTTCAAATGTCCTAAATCACAATTAAATTTTTTAAAACTCTGGGCTAATGTGCTTCCAAAAAAAAATTACAGTTGGAGCTTTCCACCAAAATAGATATGCAGGCTAAAGTAACTTCAAAAATATGAACACCTCACCATTGATATCTATGACTCAACTATTCAACTAAACAAATTAACAAATTGGGAAGACCATCCATGAAACCCTTACTCTTCAAAAGCAAATTACTGTTTAGATAAATCGCCCACTACATTGTATGGACATGCCAACACTTTAGATCTAGAGAATACTGAAAAATATGATTATCATCATAAAGTAATGCTGACACTTTTCCATTTCTGCTCAACTGAGTTTTGCTCTTCAAAATCAAAATTTTCCTCTTTGCTACACAGCACCTGGTGGTCCTAACGTACCACCCATGGAGAATAACACGGAGGTGAGGGAGTTCATCCTGCTGGGACTGACCAGCGCCCCACAACTGCAGCTTCCCCTCTTCATAATGTCTCATCTACCTCATCACTCTGGTGGGGAACCTGGGGAKGATCACGTTGATCCTGCTGGACTCCAGCCTCCACACCCCCATGTACTTTTTCCTCAGTCACCTGTCTCTGGTGGACTTTTGTTCCTCCTCAGTTGTCACTCCCAAGGTCATGGCTGGGTTGCTGATGGAAGACAAGGTCATCTCCTACAATGCTTGTGCTGCTCAGATGTTCTTTWTTGCAGTCTTTGCCACTGTAGAAAATTACCTCCTGACCACAATAGCCTATGACTGCTATGCAGCAGTGTGCMAGCCCCTGCATTACTCCACCATCATGACAAACATAGCATAGGCTGCTATGCCATTGGTTTGCTGAATGCTTCTATGCAAATTGGAGACACGTTCTGCCTCTCTTTCTGTGTGACCAATGTGGTCCATCACTTCTTCTGTGATATCCCTGCTGTCATGACTCTAACTTGCTCTGATAAACATGTCGCCGAACTGATTCTTGTTCTTATGTCAACTTTTAATGTCATTTTTGCATTTCTTGTTATCTTGATTTCCTACGTGTTCATATTCATCACCGTTTTGAAGATGCACTCAGGTAAGGGATACCAGAAGGCTTTATCCACCTGTGCTTCTCACCTCATTGCAGTTTCTATTTTTTATGGGACTGTCATTATCATGTATTTACAGCCAAGTTCCAGTCACTCCATGGACAGAGACAAGTTTGCCTCTGTGTTCTACACTATGGTCATCCCCATGCTGAACCCTGTGGTCTACAGCCTGAGGAACAAGGAGGTCAAGAGAACACTCAAGAAGGTTGTTAAAAAGGCAAAATCTTCTCTAGGTTTAGTTCCTTAATGATGTAAAACCCTCAAAAAGTTATTTAATCCCTCTTACAATGACTGTATGCTGTAATCCAAAATTAAATACTTTGTGATATATAGAAAAAATCATATAATATTATTTCTTTAGTTCAAAAACAGTTCTAAGTATCCACAAATTTGAGAATATAATTATTTTAATGAAGTTCTATGAAGTACATGTTTTTGTCACATTTTATCCTGATATAAATAATTACTTTATCTTAATAAAATCTCAGTAACCACTGAGCTATTCGGTATTAGAAAGCCTATTCACATGACTATTTCTAAAATGATGAATGCATCTGTGTTCTATACTGTGGTCGTTCCTATGTTAGAATAAAAGGCAAAAAAGATAAAACTATTATATCTTGTTAAATAAGTTTGCAGMTAGCAGGAGCTTTATAATATAAATCATATGCAATCAACTGAAAATTATTAGAATTAATAAATGAAATAAGCAAAGTCTCGAGGTAGAAGATCAGTATACAAAAATTAATGGTATTTGTATATATAAGCAGTTAATAATCTGAAAGTAAAATTAATAGAATTTCACTTAAAATCATTAAAAATAATGAAAAGATCATGGGGCAAAATAACAAACGTGATTTTTTTTTCAGGTATCCTTGAGGGTATTATTTTTAAACATTTTGGAGGCAAAATAAAAATTTTTATTTTTCTTATTCTTAATTGATCTAACAGATAATAGCTTGTTCAAAACCATAGAAGCAACAATGTCTTCAATGACATGAGGTATTTTAACTATGTAATTAAATGATAAAATGCATCATTTTGTGAAACATCATTTAAAATGTGCACATGCCATATGAATGCAAATATTTTATTATTATTTTAGTTGCACATATTTGTGGGATGACTGGATRCATTTATATAGCATGTACTGATCAAATCATGGTAGTTATCTTTTCCATCCCCTTAAATTAAAAAAAATTATTAACATRAATATGTGCATAAAATTGTACATACAACGTGATATTTTAATACATATCTACAATGTATACGGATCAAATCAGGATAATTAACATTTCCATCTTCTTATCATTATTTTATATTTGGAGGCTTTTAACTCTTCTGGTTCTTTGTAAAATATATAATAGTATTTTGTGAACTATAGTTATATCACTGTGCTGTAGGACACTAGAACTTATGACATCTATTGAACACGTTTGAGCAATGTTTATACTCTTAAAATTATAAAACATCATTGAAAGACATGAAATAAAATCTAAATTTGGAAAGACACTCCTTGTTCATGAATCAAAATCCTAGAGCTGAAAATACTCTCCAATAGATCTACAAAGTCAACCTCCTCCTGTCCATCTCCTGTTGGCTTTGCAGAAATTGGTAAACTTATTTKTAAATTCATGAGGGAATCCAAGAGACCCAGAATAACCAAGATAGTATGTTAAAGGAAAGGTAAGTTGGATTACTGTCACTTCTCTCATTTTCAAAATGTAGTGCAAATGCTATAGCAATCCAGGTGGCATGGTATTTCACTTAGGGTAAGGTTCTTTAGGTTCACCAGCGTTGTGTCAAATGACAGGAATTCTCCCCCCCCCCTTTTACAGCTGAATAGTATTCTGGTGTGCATGTACACTATATTTTATTTATCTGTGCATCTATTGATAAACATCCAGGCTGCCCCCACATATTAGCTATTGTAATTAATATTGCAATGAACATGGACAATGAACACAGGATACTTGCATCTCTTTGGCATGTCACTCCCTTTGGATCTATGTCCCAGTAGTGGGATTGCTGAATTCTATGGTATTTTTAGTTGTTTGCAGAACCTTCCAATTTTTCCATAATGGATATATAGCTAAGTATCACATTCTACCCCATAAATATGTACAATTATTATTTGCCAATTAAAATGGTTAGAATAAATAATTTAAAAACAGAAAAGATAATATGATGATGGCTTAAGAAAAGGCAGCTATAGATCAGTGGACTACAATTAAGAATCTAGAAATAAACCCCCTTAGAGGTATGATTAATTAACTTTCAGCAAGGGTGTCCAAAGAATTCAGTGACACCATCATAGATTATTTTATGGAAAATTCTTGGGATGATGGGATGTCTTCATGGAGTTGAACCCTTGTGTAATATCCCATATAAAAATTAACTCAAAATGGATCACAACCTTAACTTTAAAAGCAAATGCTATTAAACTCGGGGGGAAAAAGAGGGAAAAGGAAAATGGGAAATAATTTTAATAAAGAAAAATAAAACAAAGAAAATCTAAACTTGAGAAATGCAGCTAAAGAGTACAGAGAGAGAATTTTATAGCACCAAAGATTTACAGTGACACAGAAGAAAAGTCTGATGCCGATGATATAAGCGACTATCATTAAGTACCTATAAAAAGAAGTAGAAAACAAAACCAAAATCAATAATTAGGGGACTGACCAAAAGCAGAAATTAATGAAATTAAAGATGAAAATACAATACAGAAAGCAAGTGGAATCAAAATTTGTGTGTTTGGGTGTGGGGACTATAACATCATAAGCCTACAGCTTAAAAGATCAGCATCAGAAATAAAGAGAGGATGTTACTACAGATATTAAAAGAGGGAGAGGGAAGTGCCATGATTAAATCTATGCCTAAAATGAAAAAAAATAAGGAAAATTAACAGATTTTTAACAAAACATCATAGTTCTCTGGGGGTGGGGGGAAGTATATACAAGATTACACTTTCAGGGTTCATTTCCATACTTTGTCATGTGGGAAGCTTTTCTGAATGTATAGAGACCCAGAGAGGAAAGACTGAAGGAGGATGATGAGAACAATTTTGTGGCCAGACCAGTTGCCACCAGGTAAGACTCTTTTATATTACTGCAAAGGCCACATCATCTCTGGACTGGTGACACAAAGGCCATCTCAGCCGGCACCCAGGCACAAAGAATAGATTTCAACCTTTGTGAGGACAGGTGCTGCCACAGAATGCCACTGCTCTCCATCAGCCTTGGGGGTGCTGGGCAGAATGGTGCTCATGTGAGCAGAGGTCACCTGCCCTGCAGCTGTTCACAGACTCTCTAAAAGAAGTTGGTCCAAAAAGAAGAGGACTTAAGAAAAGTAGAGGGAGCAGACTCCCTTCCCTACCTAGGCTATGTAGCTGTGGAATATCCTGGGGGGAGGAGGGGAGGAGATGGGAAGACCACATACGAACACTCCCACCTAGTCCTTTACCAGCATGGGCACACGAGGGACCCTCATGAATCTGACTCCAGTCTCCTGATCTCAGATTGATGACCATGTTTCAAACCTAGATCTGGCTCAGATCCTCTGAGGCAGGTGAAGAGGCATTTGGTAAAGGCACTGAACCCCAAATGAGAGTGTACTGATGTCACAAGCTTACACAGCCTCCAACAGCAGCTCCAGGAAAGGGAGGTGCTGGTCTGGACAGCATATCAGCTGAGGAGCCCAGGAAGTCCTGCCAGGTCTGCAACATGAGCCACCAGACTTCAAGACAATCCTGACAGGCACTCTGAGATGCCCCTGCTGCTATGGTTCTCTCCTGCAGTGGCCTCAGCCAGCCTTTCTGGGGTCCAGGAAACCCACAAGACTCACAGACCCCAATGCATTGAGCATGGACCCAGATCCCCCTCTCATACCTGCTTCTTGWTCTGGCTTTGGGAAAGCCCAGCCTGTAATGCCTTGTCCCCTGGCTGACTGACCAGTTGAGCACGTTAGCAGAGGTATTTTTAAAACTCATTTCTCAACTGCTTAGACTTTGTGGTTATACTTCCAAAATCAGACATATATTAGATTCACAGCCATGCCCAGGACATTCTCTCTCTAGAGCCTTCTCTAGCCTCTGGGTGTGATCAACACATGTGGGTCCTTTACTGGCTTCTTTCTCTCCCTGTCTACACTTCTTGGGAGTTACAGGTCCAGAAGGGTTAGCCAAAGAGGGCTTAATGTTGGTGCCACTCATGTACAATTTCTTTTTGCACTTGTGTTGTGTGCAATGGCTCAGTTTGACTTATTTAAAGTGTGAAAGACGATGGTCCTCTGTGTCACTAGCATAGCATAAAAGTCAGAATAAATAGAAGTGGTCCTTAGTAGATGTTGTACACACCACCATCCAGACAGCTCAAAGCAGACAGTTAGGGTAGTGGAGACGTAGGGGACTCACAGTGCCCTCTTCTCCCTATCTTAAGTCCTCCAGACTGCTAGAGACCCTGCCCTAGTACCCTTTTGCTCCCCTCCYCTCCTGGTTAATTTAATATTTTCTGAGATGCTGTCCCTGATTTCTGTGGGCAGCAAAGTGGCCTTTCCCATCTCTGCACTGGTCACTTCCAACTCTGACCGCCCCCCCCGCCCCGCCATACTCAGGTCCTACTGTTCCTCCTGTGTGATCCTCAAGAGACTTTATTCCTTTCAAAAGAACAGGAGAGGGGACCTAGACACCAGGGAAGGGGACTMCGCACCAGCAGGGCCTGGCTGTGTACCCTGCAGTGTGTCCAGGTGTTGTCATTCAGCATCACTCCTACACCTGCTGGTGGCCCCCACCTCCTCCCACCTCCAGTTGGGTCCTCCCTGCCTCCCAAGATCCAGAGAGGCTCCCATAGAACCACTAGAGGCTGAATGATCTCCATCTTCCCAACGTGATCTGGAAAGTGTCCCTGCCATCTGCCTCTGCTTGGAGAAGGGATCTCACGCGGCCTGTTGGCTTTGAACACTGGACTTTCGTGAGCTCCGGCATTAATGACCCTTCCCAGCACATTTCTGTGKTGCTTTTCATGTTTTCAAAGTGCTTTCACATGTGAACCCTCATTCACTCCTCATGACCTACAGCAGGGATTTTTTGCCCCAATTTACAGATGAAGAAACTGAGAGGGGGACYTAGGATGAGTTCTAGAAAAATTGGGCCCTCCGACCCCAGCAGTGGCCATGACTTCCCTTAGAGCTTATGCTGTCTACCCCAGGTGTGGAGAGAAAGCATGGGAGACATCGACTGCAGACCCCACC